GAATTAAAATTCAACATGTCTAGGCATTTCATTGTATTCTAATTATCTGTAGAGTCGCCATCAAGTCATCACCGTGATCACCGAATTTTGTTCGGATCGGCACGATCCGAACGGTCTCCAGTTGAGATATCTTTTGCTCTCGATTGTTTATGACTTTGCTCTTAGCAAAAAAAGGAACAGATCTTCACGATGTTTGATTTTAATCGGATTTTATATAAATCGAACTTTATACGTTTTGAGATAAAAAGAATTCACGTCAAATCTCTAATTTGAGATAACCCAAATGTCAATATGCGACATTTTTCTTATCATAAAAATAATATGAAAAAAAATGCAAACCGACTGTTTCTCACTTACTGCGTCGTTTGGCGTCATCGCCAAATCGAAAGTATTACCTCGGTCTGCGTGTAACTCTTACATATAGTATCTACGCTTTTTGCTTCTTCGCTCAGAGATGTTGCTAAATCTGGTCTCGCTTAATATTTGTTTACAACATCGTTTTCTCAGCGATCTCACTTCCTTAAGACTAATCTACAATGTGCTCTTTGTTTTCTATTTCTTACTTTTTACCGCTTGCTTTTTCCTCTTTATCGGTTTGCGACTGATTTATCGACGATTACGTTTCTTGTCACGTTTTCCTTGACTCTTTCGAAGTTAATTTTCAATTCTGGCGACAGAAAAAAGAATAAGAAGAAACAAAATAAAAGGAAAAAAGAAAAACAGAAAAAAGTATGAAATAAAAAGTAAACAGCAAAAAACAGGAAGCATAGATGTAGATTAGATTTTACAGAAAGATGACTAACCGTTTAAAATTAAGAAAGTCTCAAATTTTAATTCTTTGTCTTGACAACTTACGTGTCCCAAATTTTGTCACAATTTAAGGATATGATTATGAATTGTTATTTTTTTTTTTAATGAAAATAATAAGTGTGAAATAAATTTTTAACTAACTGTGTGAAAAATTTTATGATTTTGTATTCCCAGATATTACTCATAAAATTAATTCAGTAGAAGAATACAATTATTAATAAAATGAAATTTTAAGTAATTTTTGTTGTGATCTCATATGTATTATTTACAAATATATTAATACAATATTGTTCATGTGTTTTATTAATAATTATGAAAACAAGTTTATCTATTCAAATTTAATTAATATTGAATTTTTTAAAACGTCTCTTTTCTTTCTCAAGGAATTGATCAACTTATTTTGCAGAGGTGTCGTCGAACTTCACGCGATACACGCAAGCGATTACGAGAGTCGTGTTATTTTCGGAAGTAACGATATTCTCAGATCGAGCTAGGTGTTTTCCACGAGTCTGTAATCTCTGTGCGAATGGCGAGGGAGAAAAGAAGATAGAAACAGGGCAGAGAAAGAAAGAGAAAGGAGATACGGGGGAGGGGAGGCGAGGGGCGAGTATTTCTGAGCGGATACAGGAAGTATGGATATCGATCGCGTAGCAGAGGGTAAACAAACACGACACAGAGTCGCCGCTCGAAAGCCTCGTTTCGTTCGTATCTTCCATTCATCGCTCGTCTCGGAAATACGCTTTGTTGTTAGGCGACTGTTTGTGCGAGAAGAAGAGAAACGACGGCCACGCATCCCACCGAGGTCGCGCAAGCGCGACTGAAGGATCGAACAGCTGTAGCAGCACTGTCGAGTGTCAGCTCGAGTCGTGCGTTGCTATGCGTTACGGGACTTTAATATTAACGAGCGAAATAGCGATGTACTATATTGTACTATATTGTTTTTCCGGTCGAATTCTATTCATAATCGCAATCTTGCGCTATGAGCTCTTGCATTGAACGAAGCTTTGCCCTTGTGAGATAGGAATGAGAATCACGGAAAAGGAATATTTTTCAAAAATTGACGCTAGTGATTGAGGCAAGATTTATTTTTGAATCTACCACATGTGAAAATCTATATAATATTATACGTAACATGGAAAAACAAATTTTGTTAAATCTTATGTATTTCTCTGAATTTATTTACAGTAAATATTTATTTTATAAAAGGAACGATGATTAAATCAAATATATAAATAATTTTTATAAAGTATATAAATAATTTTCATAACAAATAAACTTATATTTGCATTTAATAAATATTACTTTAATAAATATTTACTATTCAAACCAATATTAATTAAAATTGAATTTAAAAATTTGGTTTTTTTAGTGTATATAAAACATTTTTATATGCAATGAGTATCTTTTTTTTTGCACTAAACTGCATTAGAATTTTCTTTTCCATTTTCACCAAATATTAAAATATATTTCTCTTTAGGTACCAAAAATGTGTAGTTCAGTTGTATAACGGATCTAATACTTTTCGGAAGTTAACCCTTGGTTTGAAAAGTCTAAAGGTCTACATTTTTTATGGAATAGAAGATCATACATAAAAGTAGTGCGCAGGTAAAGATGAAGACAAAGGATTTTTTATTCTTGCATTTTAGTATTTATTAGGATTTAGATTTTATGACATCATAAATTTGTGATTGTTTATTATTTATAGTAGAGACTGAGAAAATATACATGGAGCTTTACAACTTTCAAAATAAAAGCTTACGACACGCATAACAACATATGTTCCCAAATCATTTTAATCATTAAAATCTCCTTTTAACAGTAAATCTTAAATATAAAAATAAAAAATATAAATATAAAAATTGTGCAAAAGTAATGTCCTTTATTTAAATTAGATTACAAGACAACAACTATGACGTGTATACGATTCCAAGATATTATTGTGGAGATAAACATATTTGCTTTCTGAACTCGCTCTTTAATTAGCTAGCATCGGTGCACTAGGTCAGGTGTACATTATTCTCATAACGAGGGAACAGCGCATGCGCTCGATGATGTCACGAGCGTGATCGTTGATTTACAGGGCCGACATTTAACGTGGATCGCACACTGCATAAATTATCTAGGTGTACTCAGGTGTGCCTAATAACGTTAAAATTTAAGTAACATATTCAACAGTTTCATTAAAGATATGTTTAACTATTATTATCGTATGATTAGAATCGAAGTGGATTGATTTCGTAATAATATAATAATAATAATAATTCCTAATAATATTTCCTATAAATAATAATATTATAAATAATAATATTTCCTACGTGACATTTGTAAAACTATTTTTAGAATTTTTATAATAATTTAAATATTACAGATTTTATTCCAGCCTAACATTTTTTTTATTAGGAATCCTAGGTTTTTCTCATCATAGAATTTTTTTATTTTACTTTTCTTGTCTTACAACAATTGAGTTAAGAAAATATTTTTATTAGATTATTAATATTTTTAAGTATATTCTATTCATAATTATAAGAGTATCAACAATTTCTTAGCATTATCAATTATCTATTTTGTCTTAAAAGTGAGACATTGTCACCAGCAGATGATTTCGGCCAAATTTTGATTAATCTATGATAAATTTATCAAGCAGTACTTATGATATTTTGTCAACATGGATAATAAGTAGAGGATAATTAATTTATTTTCATTTGAAACAACGATTAAATTAAGAAGATAACGAATTATATAGTCAGAAGTTAATTTTGCTGCCAGCAAAATTTTGCCACTTGAATTAATTTAGTACGTATTGTGTAATTATTCGGAATGAATTTAAATTGGAATTATTCATTTCTTAGATTTCCATGAAATCTGTTTGTGTTGCATGAAATCCCCAAATTCAGTCGTTAAAGAAAAAGAAAGCGAAGATGCTGAGTGCAAAAAGTACACAAGCAATGCGAACAAGTGAATTGTATTTTTTAAGGAAAATAGAATAATTCCGATCGGGATCCATTTAAAATAATTCTATAAGATTGACTAAGGTCGTAATAATCGCACTACAAGTTGCCGATTATGGTTGCTAGTTGTCGGTTCTATTGTCATCAATCATGTTGCAGCTAATCTGCATTCGCTGCATCATGATTAGCTAAAATAGAACTGACAATGTTGACAGCAACTGTAATCGACAACCTGTAGTGTGATTACGGCCTAATGGAGCTCATTTTACAATTACATAATCTGTAAGTGGTTGTAGTTTAGACATAGTCGAATATAAGGATAATATTGTGATTGATCAATTCTTACAACTACAAGCACTTACAATTATATTTAAGTAATTGTAGAATGGGCTTAGGCTCTTGAGTAATTGTGGCAGCCATGTTGGAATCGTGACGTCAGAAGCAAGGAATGACATATTTATTTATGCTGCAAGCCATTTGTAAATAAAGACAATTTGGATAAATCTAAATGACGAGATTACGATAAAATAGTTATAAAAATGAGTAGATGTCCTTTTCTTCCTTGATAGTCAATAAATGATTGTAAAAGGCAATGATTGTAAAATGAACCTAATTCGATTTAAGCTGTTGGAATGAATAAAATATACGCTTTTAGGGATAAAATTCCAGGATAATTATAGTTTCTGCTTATTTTTAAGACTTTCATAAGTATGAGACACATTTTCACAATTAAGTAAATAATAATGAAATAGTGCAGCACAAATTTCATCATCAAAACGTCACTTTTCCACGTCTATAAGTTTAGCCATTTATCGAGGTGCCGAGGCGCTATACACACACACACACGCACACACGCACACACACACACACACACACACACACACACACACACACACACACACACACGCACGCACGCACGCACGCACACACGTACACGTGCACACACGCACACACGAGCGCGCCAAGAGCACATATACATGCTTTTGTGTGTGTGTGTGTGTGTGTGTGTGTGTGTGTGTGTGTGTGTGTGTGTGTGTGTGTGTGTGTGTGTGTGGGGCTACCGATTTCGCTACATTTTACTGACTGATTTTGAGTCGCATGTTGACTATTCAGGAGCTATGTTCAAAATTCGATCAAGTGAAGTACGCCGCTCGATGGACCCGGGAACTCGAGATCGACTTCCGTCACTGGTCGCGCGACGGCAGCGCCACTGGACTTATTTCCCCCACCGTAGCCTCGGACGTTCTGTCCGCCGTGCTCGGCTGTGATCGGAGGTCGGAGGAGCGACAGTAAACAGCTGGCGACGCTTTGCGTCAGTACGATACGCAAAACGGGACTGTGCGGAGCAGGTCCGCCCGTTGTCCCCCCCCTTTTCCCTTCCATCCAATTATATCCTGGCGAGATCCCCGACCGACACATTTCTCGGCCGCTGTCCAAGCCGAAGCCTTCGTCGAATTGCTCCGACGCAGAATAATTCCGACATCTCCGCAGCATTAATCATCGACGAGGAGACGTCGAAACGAGCGAGCGTCGTTGTGGAAAAGCAGCGGGGAAAGCGGAGTCTCTTTGTTCGGCGCGACCGCTCTGCGCATAGACTGACAGTGCGCACGGCGCAGCATTGTTTGTATTGTGTCGCGCGGTTGGTTCACTTCGGTCGCTCTCTTCCGTCGATTCCTTTCACACGAAGACGGACCGGACTCTTGACAGCGTCCAACGATAAATCAGTGCGAGGATTACTCGTGGAAGGACACCTAACTGACGAACAGTGACTGTGTCGCTGATGAACGACGGTGTCGCTCGAATCGAGAAGCGAGCGAACGAGAGAGCGACGGAGAGCGAGAGAGCGCGGCGGCGACGGACGCGGTGGCGTAACGCGGTGCGCGAGTGCTTTGTTTTGCCGAGCAGCTGATCCGACGCGACGGCGAGCTACTGCGAGCTACGCTTAACGACGGTACGTGCGACACGCGCGTCGACGTTTTATCATCGACGCGTACGACGTCGGAGATCCCCGGAAGAATCTCGGGGTTAAACGCGACCACCACTCTCGACGAGGCGTCCACTTTCGGCGGATCAACTTTCCGACGACGTCAAAACGGTCGGAAATCGTAGCAGTGACGATTGGCCCCCGTTGTTGGAAATCGATTGCCAACGACGACGCTTCGTGTTGCAAGACGGATTTTCGTCAAATCTGACGTTCCGTGAGGGTGCCGTGAGAAACTAAAAATTGATAATTGATTTAGCGATTGGACGCTTTGCAGAAGGGAAGGAAATAATGATGATAAACGTGACGAAGGGATTCAAATTCCTGAGAATTCCGCACGGAAAATTTCTGTTAAACGGAGTGTAATAAAGTCGAGTGCTCGAATCTCCGGCGCTGGTCAGTCGTTGGACACTCGCTGGAAGACGCTCAGTTCGATCACGTGAATCGTGCGTACGTCGGGAGATTGCCGTGTATTGGAGATTATGACATAAAGGCAACCGGTGTTACTCGTCGGATCCCCTACAAGCAGAAGCGGGAGTAAATTTTTTTTTTTCAAGCGGGTGAACGCTCTCGATTGCGTGAAGAGCGAAAACGTGTTGTTTGGTCTCGAGCAACTTTCCCCACGGTGTCGCGGCGAAGAACAAAGAAAACGACTCCACTGAAAGACATTGGTTGAAGTGTCTGAAGACACTGCTTTGAGTTTCTTCTTCGACGATCGAAAACCGAAGAATCCCCGCCCATTTCGAAGCGATCGGGCTCTCGTGCGCGAGAGAGAGAGATATCTGGATGATACTCTGCAACGCGGCGCGATTTTCAGTGGCTTTGTCTCAGAATCGACGGCGAGGATCGCATTGATCGATGCAGCATAGTCTTGACGGGGCCGTCCTCGCGAACGATCGAGAACGTGGGGTACGGCCCCGATCGAGCTGACTAAGGGAACCGTCCAAACCGAGGGCCAATCCTGCTGTTAATAGGGCCCACGGTGGAGGAAGACATCCGTGACGGGGCTATTTTAACAAGTTCTACTTTTGTGTCACTACAAGGAGTCTATCCACGAGACGCAACATGCTGTACATCTTCCACGTTGACACCGGCACCACCATCACCTTCGACATCAAGCTGGCACTGCAAAGGTAACACACAAACAATCTATTTTTCTAAATTATTTCGAGTAGAATTTCTCACTTTGAGAAAATATGAAAAAAATAAGCTGGTCTTGAAAATGAGCGGCTCAATTTCCTACAATTTTTAAAAATGAGATTTCACTTTTCAGAGTGAGATTTAAAGCTGGTATTCATAATCAATTCTTATATTTAAAGCTGTCTTGTTTAATCTTAAGATATCGTGAATTAATCAGTGTGCTGTATTAGTATCTTAAGACACTTAAAATGATCTTAAAATTAAAACTGATTATGAATACTGGCTTAAAAAGTTTTAAAGAGTAATGTTCTTTCTAATAAAATAGTATTTTGTTCCTATTAAATGGTTCAGAACTTTTTGTAAAATGTTTTCTCGAATTACGTAAGAAGCAAGAATTCTACCTACATCGATACGTAGCGATAACAGTTGGTTATTTACATCAAAATTTCGATAATTCTCTTAGTCATAATTCAGTTGAATTCGCATTGTTTTTCATTCTGAGTAGTAAGTAAGATTAAACTAAGTTTCTATCTACAGTTGCACAAGCTCGAAACTATGCTTTAAACCCATTTTACCAATTCAATTGCGTAAGCGTAGTTGTACGTGACTGTATTTATAAAAATTGAACAATCATAGTCGAGTATTATCATCATTTTTGACTGTAGTTAGTCAGTTTTTACAACATTATAGAAAATGTTAAGGTTCACGACACATAGAAAAACTTAAAGAGGTTGTAAGGCAAATGCAATATGTTAAGAATTACTTGAAAAAATTACAGATTATTCTAAATTGCATTTAAAAGTTATACAAAAAAATTAGAGATAATTGATTTAGTCTAGATTAATTATTTCAATAAAAAGCAATAATTTAAATTTGTACTCTAATAGAAATATAATATATGAAAATGTATTATCTCAATTTTTAATCTCAATTTTTTTATATAAGTCTTTATGAATTCAAAAATATTTATGTAAAGTTACATTGAGATGCAGACATTAATTGTTCAGTAAATAAACAAAATATTTATTTGTTATGAATTATTGGTGAATCTCAATGAAATTTTACATAAGTCATTTTTAGTACTTAAAATATGTATGTAAAAAATTTAGATTTTTGTTATTATTTTTAAAATTTGTTTATAAACAATAAAACTAATATCAAATAAAATAAATTATCTATAAAAATGTATTGCTCAATAAAAACAGAATGTTATGAATACAATTTTCACATGTATATATAGTTTGTTCAAAGCGTAAATATTAATATATGTAAATATTAACTTATGCTCTTACAATCTTCTTAAGATGTAAGATTTAAACAGTGAATCTGATCTACAATTATTTAAACGTAATTGTAAGTAGTCGTAGTTGTACATCTAGAGAAAGATTTTTTTTCGATTTAAAGAATATTTCTTTGCTATAGAAAAAATTTTTTTGATTTGAACGTCATTTCTTTGATTTAAATATTATTTTTTGAAATTAAATAAAAAAAAATTCATTTGATTTAAATTATATTTAAATCAAAGAAATGACGTTCAAATCAAAGAAACTTTTTCTTTAACTGTATAGCAAAGAAAACATTTCTTTAAATCGAAGAAATCTTTCTCTGGGTGTAAAAATTCACCACAACCACAGTTGGATATTCTCTTCGTATTCAAATGTGATCAATTCTTACAAATACAACTATGTTTACACAATTGTCGATTGGGTTTAAAACCATATGTGAGCAGTAGCGAATTCAGCATGTTGATTTCCTTACTGCTTAAGTTTTACGTCTTGAATAATTTTATGTGACTTTTATTTATATTAAAAATGAGATTCCTAAACCTGTGTTATTATGCGATAACTTTGTCACCAAAGTAAGCAGGCGATGACGTTAGTATAAAATATTCACATAATTTTATAGACTCAATATCACTTGAGTGAAAATGGAAAGCAACTATAATAATAACGCGCGTTAATAATCACGCGGCATTTAGCGCGTCTCTAACAGGCCGCGAACCAACGCAGCCTCGCGCGAATCCAAGGATCCGTCGAAGGCTAACAAATTGCAAAAGTGTGCCGCCTCCGTAGCGGACGTAGGCGAGAGACATATAGCGAATTTGATTGGACGCTCTAGTGCATATTAAAACCGTTACACACTGATTCAGTTTGTATAAAAATAAAATGCAAACATTTCTAATTACACTGAAAAAAATACTAAATTTTAATAAACATTTATTTGATTTATTATATAATTTAAGTAAATATTTACTAAATGTAAATATATATTTATTTGATACGAATCTATTTATTTGACTTAACTATCATTTTTTATTGAGCAAATATTTATATTTGCTGCAAGTAAATGTTTACTTACTATTTAAAGAAATATACATGTATTAAGATTCAGAAAATTTTTTTTGTCTGTATAAAATTTTACTTAACACATTTTACTTAACAGCGCAATAAAATGCATTAAGGATGATTTAATCTATTTTTATATTTATATTGAACGCATATTTTTACATCAATTTGTGTAATTTACGGCTTTAATATACAGTGCGCGTTCAATCGAAGCATTCAAGCGAATTCGCTTGAAGGTTCTTGTGTTGTTGCACGTGTCTCGGAGAGATTCTTTAGGGGAACAGCGACGATGGAGTTTCTTCCGGATCATGATTCGCGAACTTGCGCCGAAAATAATACACAATGAAATCGACGCGACGCGGCGCTACGCGACGCACGTGGGTGTGGATGGCTCGTGGCGCGCACGAGTTTGACCCGATGGCAAACTCGGCCAACATGCGCATGATGCAAACGAGCACTGCTCTTTCGATACTTTCCGATCACTCCGTTCAGATGGCTCATCTCCTCTCTCACTATACTTAGGTACTATTTAATAGCGAAGGGAAATTCTAGCGAGAATACGGAAATACGTTTTTATAGAGGAATCGTTTAAAAATGAAGAAAGGTATATATGCAATCTGCAAAATTGCGCTTTTCCTTTAAATTGAAATATATATGTATATTTTTGTAGTATAAATAAATTTAACTTGTTGATTATTTAAAAATGTAAATGTAAAGATGTAACTGGTATAATCATCGACACTCACAGATGAATGTTTTAAAGATGAATGAACGTCCTGCAAAATTATGCTTTTCTTTAAATTGAAGTATGTATATTTTTGTTGTACAAATTAATTTTGCTTATTATTTTATTGTGTAAATGTAGCTGTTAAGATAATATTATTGATAATGAATAAATCTTTTAAAGATGAAGGAACGATGTATCTAAAATATGCAAAAATTGCGCTTTCTTTTAAGTGAAGTACATTTTTGTTATAAAAATCCATTCTGCTCATTATTTTGTAATGTAAATGTAGTTGTTAAGATCATCGGTAAAAAAAGTGAATATCTTGTGAGATGTTTCATACTTTCTTGATATACTTTCTGATATATAAAATGTGAAATATGTACATATTGTAAAATGTTCTCTCTTTAATGACCTTGTCTTAATATTTATAATACGTAGAATATCAAGAAAAATCGATTGATAGAAAAAAAAGTACTTAGCTATATTTAAAGGAAACGTGCAAATGCATATCGCAAATATATATTCGAAAAAAGTAATGTCATAGAAAGTTGGATCTCATTATATCCTTCCTCTCTTTCCTCTCTCTCCTATTTTAATTATCAAGAGAAACATTTCCTGTTCAAATTGCTAGACTCAATATTCTGTATAACATTCTACATTTCGTCGAATATAAGTATAACGCAGAGATTTTCATATTTGATGAATATTATACCTCGGATAATATTTTTACAATAATTTAACATCAATTCGAAATATTCGTTATTAAGCAAATAAAATAAAAAACAAACCTATAGAAATCAGCGCGGATCACAAAGCGCAATCAACTTAATAAAAAAAATTAGCTTTAATTAACAACATATACATAGAATCAGCTATTATACATTTCGGCTCTCCTTTGACTCATCCTCAGCGAACGAATTTTAATAAATTAAAAAGAACAAACAATTTGTTATTAAAATAATAACAGCAAATTCTGGAAACATTTTGTATTATAAATTCAGCAAGAATCAAGATATTTGCAAGAGTAAAAGCAGCTGACATTTTAATCGAACAAAGCTTCTCACTGTTAATTATAATATCGTTATTTTATGCAAATTGATACGGAAGAATGTGAAGAATTTTATATTAAGTGTATTATATTATACGCAAGGAATTGCTTTGCATTTTTATTCTGTCGATAATTTTAAAGAAGTCTTTTAACGTGTTGGAACTAAAAAAATTGAAGTTCCTTTTGTACAGCATATAATTATTTATATTGATACATGAATGGTAATTAACTTGATGGCGATCACTCTTATTTTTAAGAGAAGATAGGAAACTGTTGGTAAAAAGAAAGACTTATCCCATTTATTACGATCGTTTATCTACGTTGATGAAGATCAATGCTGAGCGGAGGAATTACAATTTCTACGCATCGGTTTACCGTATGATAAACGACCTTCAGTTGTGGATGGAGACATCGTATCGACGCGGTAAATGCATCGGTAACTCGTTCCATGTCCCGTCATGGAAAACTTCTGTGCTTTCGAGAAACACGCTCGCTCACATCTGACGCGGGCACTGAAAATATATCATTTGGCTCGCGGCGCGTTCTACATTGTGTTGAATCGTGTCGTCAAATAAGCTCGGCCAAGCTTTTAATGCGCAGCTTCTAAGGGAAGCGGCAGATTACAAGGCTCTCTTCATATTCGAGTGACGTGACGTCAGAGTGTCAATTGGATAAAAAATTGTCAACGACGTTTGACGACGTTACAAGGGCGATTGCGTAATCGAAGCACAATGCAACCTCATGTAATCTAAATTGGCGCGTCATAAATTTCTGTATTTATCATAATAAACTGTATTTTTACGTTTCGTTTTGTAAAACCATGATTTTTTTATCCTGTGCCCTACCTGTTCTCTTCATTACATTGGAACACTCGCTTCTCGGGTAAATTTCACGCGATGATTTTCCAATTCTTTGCTACACATGATAAGTCATTCTTGTCTCGATTAATCTTTATTTTATTTTAATAAATATACACAAATTAAAATTATTAGGGTCTTCACGAATATAAGATTAATTTTAATGTCGGTTTAACTAAGAATTAGAAGAAGATCAAGATTAAGTTTAGATTAAAGTTAATCTTACATTTATGGAAAGTCCAAGTGATTCATACATATACTTTGATATCTTTAGAAAGTATTTATATGATTGTGTATTTAAAAAACTATGTATAAATGTTATAACTAATTATTTAATGCGCCTATGTAATTTTTCGAAGAAAAAATATGCAGGACACGAATGAATCCAATCGTGCGTATTAAAGGTTAAGATAGTGGCGTAGAAACGGTCATCGGCCTCGCTTGTCGCCAACAATTAACGAACTGTGTCAATTCGCGAGAGCTTCCACTCCGATTTGTGCTTTTATTTTTTGTGTTTGTTTAGTAATGACAGTTGCGATGAATAACAGTTAAGCGTGAATAACATTAAGCTTGAACAACATCGCAATTAAATACTAAACTAGGCAATTTCTAGTCATCAGCATCAACAATAGTATCTGCAAAAACGACGATCTTTGTTCATATCTCGCTCGATTACCTTCGCTTTGTTTACGTTAGTCGATAAGAATTATCTGCGCACCGTGCGAATGAAAATCATGCGAGCCAACTTCGCATTCAACGTGAGTCGATGCAAAACGTATTTGCGCTCTTGGTATTCTTCCCACGTAAACACATCTCGAAAATTCATGTAAAATACATGTAGCCCTCGCAATCATCATAAACATGATGAAACATTGAAGTTTTGTCCATTTGAAATTATTTCGACGCACTTATACACATATAACATGATAATATTTATTTTCTATTTGATCCTGCATAATGGAAGAAATTAGGAATAAATATTAAATATTAGAAACAAAAAAATTAAGAATAGAGATTAAATGTAACGTACAAATAAGGTATTACATATTTATATCTCTTATATTTTATTTGCATCTATTATTCGTGAAGTTACATTTCTATGTTCATTTCCTGATTTTTTATTACTTAATGTTTAATTTAATATTTATATCTAATTTAATATTTAATATTTATATTTCGTCTAATATTTAATATGTAACCTAATGTTTATTTTTGTTCTTAATATTTCTTCCTATTGTGCACTTTACTTTAGAATAATAATTAATAATACGTTTTTGTCAGTTGACACTCGTTTAATCAATCAAAAGTGTCTCGTTTTCCTATTTGGAAAGAATTTTTTTTTTTTTCAAAAGAGATCTCGTTTCCAAGAAAGGTGACTTTGAAAGATGAAAGTCTAAAAATATCGCACTCCTTCGAGTTTGGACGATCTTCAACGAATAATGCGCATCATCTAGACTCGTTGTAAGGATCCCTAACACGCAAATAATATATAACCGTTAATTTATTTTAAAAGGATTCTCTCTTTCTCTCTTTGTTTTCCTTTCCTCCTTTTTCATTTGCTCGTAAAGCTGATATCTTGAAGAAATCGCGACAATGAATGCCATCGCGTGCACGAAATATGAGCCGCGCCGCGCCGTGTCGTAACGTGACGTGCGTAACCATCGACGACACGCAGTCTCGAGACGTGGCGAGGCGCGGCGGTTGAACGTGCTCGTAGTCAGCTGGTAGCGTCCACGAGTGACTGGCGATAATTCCGCACTCGATACGTTTTCCCGTTGCAGACGCGCGAGGCGCTTTTGATCAATGGTGCTGCGCCAGCATTTGATATCTTTAACTCCGACGTTTCTTCTCATCTTATTCTTTAAATCACTCGCCGCTCGACACTTCAGTTGATTCAATTTTCGCTTTCGTTACGCAATTCGCGCTATTTTCGAGAAAACGAAAACAACGCGAATGGCACATCGAGTTCTACCGGGAACGTCGATCTCTTTTTTTTCTTTTTTTTTTTCCCATAGAGACGCTCCGCACGATTGAAGATCTTACGATAGTTACGAAAGGATTGTGAAAGGCGGTTAATTTGTTGTCGTAATTCACTCTACGAGTGAAATAATCGCGTGACAAATTTTTATTAATTAATCTTAAGTGAAATAGATCGAAAAATGGTCTATTTTACTTACAATTAATATTTAATTAATAAAACAGAAATAAAAGAGAAGACGGCCATTTTCTGTCCTTGATATTCATAAGGAAACCCTTATGAGTGTTTCCCTTCAATTTTTATGCTCTTTGAATATTGTTGTCTGAACAATAAGGGACACGTATTTTTTAAAAGTATCATACGCTTTTAGAAGATGCAACACTTCTTTGAAGAAAATTGATTATTGTCTTTTGAAGCAAATATTGTCGAAACTATAAG